AAGACATTGATTCTTCTGTCATTTTTTTTTTTAATTTTATACTTGTTAGCTTTTCTACTGTCATCTTTACTCACTGTTCAACTCTCTCTCTCACTACTAGCATAGTAAGTACATGAGAACACCTTGGCTTGAATCTGTCACATCTTAGTTTTCAATATTACATCTTTGCCCTTCAGCACGTTGGAGAAGACTCTGACCATAGCCTTTCCCAATTCAGTATGTCTTTCTGACTGTTAGTACCAACGTTGTACAAATAATAGACGCACTGGATATGCACCAGTCTTTGCTAGGAAATTTGGACAACAGTTACCTGGCAGACTGATTGGAACAGATCCATATTTGTTCCCATTCACAAATGAAGTATTGTTACTAACTGAACTAAAACCAGCTCACACAACTCATTTCCCTCAAATAGATTTCAACTCATAACCACTATATATTGAAATACAAAGGCTCAAAATATTGAATAGAGTGTCCATCTTTCTTCCTTGGAAAGTAACAAAAACTAATGGGAATAAAAGGAAAAATGGAAACTTAATCATAATAAGCTTTATTTCAGAAAACAAACTGCCTTTGCGTTGGATTCTACTTAAAGCTAACTTCCCGTTTGGTTTTTAGGGCTGTAATTGGTGAGATAATATAGCGAATTTTTCTCCCATGAGGCCACTGGTAGAGTCTATCCATCATGGATGTGTGACGTTTGGATTATGGCATGACTTCCTATGGTCTATACCACCAGAGTTTCCCCTTTATCACTATTGCTAGTGTATAAATACAAATAAATGATATTTTCTTGAAGATAAATTTTCATTAATAAGAAAATAACTGAAAGTCCAATTTTGACCTCTAATGAACAACCTTGGTACTAGCAGCCAGGAAGATGTGTTGAATTGGGAAAGTCTGTAGTCAGAGACCTTTCCAATGTGCTAAAGGGAAAAGATGTTATTTTAAAGACTAAGGATGCACCTGATCCAAGCCATGGTCTTTTAATTTACTTACTATGAGTAAAGAAGACAGAAGATGAATCCAATGTCTGTAAGTGAAGTAGTTTTGAGAGAAGTCCTAAATATCCCATGGACTGCCAACAGGAACATGGGAAAATTTAGTTTCACAAACTTTGGATGTGTTGTTAGGAGGGACCAGTCTTTGGAAATGGACATCATGGTAAAAAAAGTGGGGGGTCAGCAAAGGAGAGGAAGGCCCTCAATGAGATGGATCAGCAGTACTGTATGTAACATTGGGTGCAAGTAAAGCAGAGAGGATGGAGATGGCACAAGATAGAGCAGGGTCTACATCCTTTTTCCATAGGGTTACCATAAGTCATAGTATACTCAATAACACCTAACTACAACATTTATTACTAATCCATTGTTCAAGTAACCATAGAAATTATTAAAATAAGGTATGTCTAATTTTATTTATTCCCGTTCCAAAGATAAGAGTGTAGAAATTATCAAACTGTATCACACACAAGCAAGATCCTGCTGAAGATAATCCAAAAAGAACGGGAACAGCACATCAACAGAGAATTGCTGGCACTAGGAACATTATAGCCAATGTTCAACGAATCTTAGCTGAAAGCAGAGAGTACCAGAGGAATGTCTGTCTGTGTTTTATTAACTCTGCAAAGGCATTGGACTTTGTGGATCACAACAAATTGTTGCTAACCTTGAGAAGAATGAGAATCCCAGATCACTTGAGTGTGCTTATTATGCAAAACCTATACATGAATGATGAGGCAGTCATCACAACAGAACAAGGAAACACTTCATGGTTCTAAATCAGGAAGGATGTACTTTAGGGAGGCATACTATACTATCTCCATACCTTTTCAATCTATATGCAGAACAGATCATTTGGGATGCTGGGCTCAATGAGGAGGAATGTGGCATCAGAATGAGAGGAAGACTTGTCAACAACCTGATTTATGCAGATGAAACTGCAGTTGTGCTTGCCAAAACTGAGGAGAACCTGAGGTGTTGCTGCAGAGCATTAGAGACTACAGTCTTCAATATGAATTAAAGCTCAATATCAAGAAAAAGATTCTCACCACTGGGCCAATTGGCAACATCATCATAAGATGAAGAGATTGAGATTGTTAACAATTTCTCTTTGATTGGTTTTACAATCAACACTCTTGACACCAGCAGTCAGGAAATCAAAAGATTCATTACATTACGAGAAACCTACTGTCAGAGACCTCTCCAGAATATTTAAGAGCAGTGATGTCAACCTAGAGACTAAGGTGCATTTGACCTAAGCCGTAGTCTTTACAGTTACTTGCTGTGCATCAGAAAGCTGGATCATGACTAAGGATGATAGAAGAATAATCAATGTTTTTGAGTTGTGATGCTGGAAAAGAGTATTGAATATACCATAGGCTGCCAAGAGACAAAACAGATCTGTCCTGGGGAAGGTGAGGGTGAAACTGGAGGCAAGGATCTTGAAACTCCTTCTCACATACTTTGTGCCTGTTGCCGGTAGGGTTCATTCCTTGTAGAGGGACATCATGCCTGGGAGAGTGGAGGGACAGTGCTGGAGAGGAAGACAGACCCTGGATGAGATAGATGGATTGACTCAGTGACTGGGGTAATGAGAGTAAGTGTCTCAAAGACAGTGAGTGGACTAGGGCAGGGTTCAGAGCTATTGTACAGAGAAAACAGGCCCTATAGTTAAAAAGTAAGCCATAATAAATTCGTGTAGTAGATCGCTTTGATGTTCATTTTCCTTATGCATTTAAATCTCTCTATGAGATCCTTCTGGCAGTATAGTTAGTAGGAAGTTGCACTACCAGTCCAAAGGCTACACCTCAGTACAGCAAGCTGAAAGCCAAGTGCTGAGCTAATTAGAACAATGATAAGCAAGCAAGAACACAGATACCCAATATGGATTATATCTCCAAGAAAACAAAAACAGCCATCCCTGAACCGTTAGCATCATTATAGATGGGGAAAAGATTGAAACTGTCAATAACTTCATCTTACTTGGATCTACAGTCTATGCACTTGGTACCAGAATTCAGGAGATCAGGAAACATATTGTACTGGAAAAGTCCACCATCAGGGACCTCTCCAAATTATTTAGGAGCAGTGATGTCCGAGGAATAAGGTGTGCCTGGTTCAGACTATGGTCTTTTCAGTCACTTGCTGCACTACTGAGAGCTAGACAGTGACTAAGGATGGCAGAAGAATTATTGATGCCTTTAAAGTGTGATGGTGAAGAGTACTGAGTATCCCATGGACTGTCAAAAGAATAAGCAGACATATGTTGGAGAATGTACAGCCAGAGTGCCCCCTGGAGGCAAGGTTGGTGAAGCTTTGTCTCATATTTTGGTATTTGTTGCTAAAAGAGGATATTCCTTGGAGGACAACTGGAGGGACACCAACAGAGAGGAGGAACCTCGTACCCAGTGGATTGACACAGTGACTGCAGTAATGGGTTTGAGTGTGTCAGAGATTGAGGGTGGAACAGGATTAAGCTCTCATGTTCATAGGGTCTCTTATGAGTCTTATTCAGCTCAGTGACACCTACCAAAAACAACAGGCTTATGCTAGGAGTGGTACAATAATAAAATTTAGTTGTTAACCAGGGAAGATTGACTGTTCTTTGAAATGTGAAATGTCAGAGGTTCAAATCAGTCAGGAGTTGGTGCCACTGTTGTAGAATGAGGCTGACATTGGGGTGGGGATAGGACTGAGAAAAACTGGATAAATTATGTTTACTGCATTGAAGCTGATGGAGAGAATAGTTTAAAATTAATATATTTTAGGGCATTATGATTATTATAAGAGTCCAGAATGAGGGCTGCAGAGTGAAGTATACTTGGGGTGGGAGTGGGGATCTGTGGGGGGGTGGAGGGGGATTGTGTACCAATGAAGGAGTTTGTCTTTTGCTTTTCAAGGAGAGGAGCGAAGTGGGGGTGGGGGAGGGGTGGGCAGGGAGAAAAGTGCAACAATGAATCAATGGAATTACAAAATCTCTGTAGATGTTCATTGAAATTAATAATAGTAATAACAATAAAAAATTTTAAAAGAAATCAGTCAGGAGTTAAGACTTGACAGTTTGTTCCTTTTTCCTAAGGGGCAGTTCTTCTCTGCCTTTAGGTTCATTATGAGTCAGAATTGACTTGAAGACACTGTAGGCCTGATTTAGATATAAAAAACAAAACAGTGTTCCTTCCTTTATGTCATTTATAACTGATGACAGTGCAACATTTAGGCAAAACTTTCCAATATAGAAATGGGAAAAATTGAATGGAATCTGAGTATAGTATCTAGATAGAAACACAGATAATACTGTGTGAATTGCCTGCATGAAGAGCAGGTAAGTGAAAGATTTCATTGATTACTTCTAGAGTATGGATTGAAGTTGAAATGGGACCTTTCTATGTTTTTATGCCTAGTTTGTTTGGATGAGAATTTACATACAGAGCATTATATTCATTTGTGTGTGTGTGTGTGTGTCTTTTATATTTTAGGAAATGATAACCAAAAATCTTAATGCAACCTCAGTGGTGAATCAACATGTAATTTATTGTATACTTAACAATGTGCATTGTATCTACTGACTTTAATGCATCTCTGATAGGAGTGGCAAGAAAATAAGAAATAGAGGACAACCCATGCCTTTACAGAATTAGATGACTTGTTTGTCTAATTTCTAATCATGAATAATAGTTCTTGCCAAAATAGTGTCCAGTTTGTGTTACTCAAGATAAACTAGTGTCCCTGATCCCTAATGTGCTGGATTAATCTCTGGTGAACATATTTATGTTGTTCCTAATCTGAAAGTTTATCTCTAGAATTCCATTTGTTTAGGAAACTTCATTGTCAGGAATCTCTGATTCTTTAGTATTGTATCTGCAACAGAACCAATTAGAATACTAGTTAATGACTGTAAATTGTGTATAACATTGATAATAGCCAAGTAGTTTCTAATGTAAAACCTTGGTGTTAAGACTGGTTAGTGGGGCCTTAACTAAGCTATCTTTATAATTCCAGAAAGAACTGGTGGTCTTCATGGGCGGTATTGCAGGGCTCCTCTTTACTTTTTACTAAAACTCAAGGAAGCAGCACAAGTTGGGTATGTATTCTTTTTGGTGGCTTTACAAATTTAAACTGTTAGAACGTGATTGTCCATCAATTTCAAAAGTAATTTCCATAGTTCTTTGAACTGAACATGTGATAAATAAGTAAAAAGAATTGGCGTTTTTGTTAAGTATGCATTTTAATTCAGAAGCAGCAGCAGCAAACTAATTTGAAATCTACTTAGTTGTGTGATTAAAATCAACAAATCTGTTTTATTTATTAAACTGAAAATTACAGTAAATACCTAGGCAGTATAGATTACATATACTGCTTGATTCATTGTTAGAATACGAAAACTTTATTGTATTTTTACTTTGTTATTTCAAACATTTAATGAGAAAACAATTGAAGCCCCAGCTTCAATTTTATCTGACCTTTACAATACTAGTGTGCATATATCAGCCAGGTATTAGAAGAAAACTACTTAAAACATTTTTGTGTTCACTATTTACTGTTATTACTCCTCAGTTATCTGTAATAACAATTATCTGTAATTGGAAATACACAGTTTACAATATAAATGGTAATATACCGTTATCTATAATATCAATCTTAAAAATTATCATTTGGTATACATCTTAATTAATGCTTTTAAATGTATAATATGTGTCAGAGCAGCTGCAACTTTAATGTAGAAGTAGTCAACATTTTATATAATAAGGAACAACTCGAGGATAACTGGTATTTGTCTCTCCTCACCCCTTTTAAAGATGAGAAAAATGAGACATAAAACAATACATTACTCAAGATTGAGCTACCTCAAGTGGTGGGTGAATAGTGGTGCCTCTTGGCTGTTTAATCCCACTAGAAACTCCTCAGGAGGAAGATGAGCCATCTCCTCCTGTCCTATTTATAGCCTTCTAAAGCCTTTTATTGCTATTTGCAACTACCAGAATTCAGTATCAGATGCAGGATGCTCCATTACATCAGTGGTTAGACTTGTAAAAAAATAATTTGAAAGTATTCTAGTTTTGTTTCTCTATTTTGATACCAAACTGCACCTATTATAGGTCAAGTTTATTATTTATGTAATGGAGTTAAATTTCACTGGAAGATATGGCTAGCAATATAAACCACAAAGGCAAAAATCACCTCTGGTTAAAATTGCCTCTGAATGTCCTTTAAAAACATGCTGTGTTAGACTCCAGTCTGTAGCTCTCTTTTTTATTTTTGAAATGTTGGAGAAATCATATTGTAGGAGAAGGATGTTTCTTCGATGATTAGTTACATTTAGTTCATGAAAATAAACGGAAATCTACTTGAAGAAATATCAGATCGAAGTTGCGTAGTTATAAGGCATCCTCATGAACAAGAATGTTGAAGAAAATCATTTGAATTTTTAAAATAAGTCTTTGTATATTTTCTTTTTTTTTGCTGAGCATGTATAGTTAAAACTTTGTAACGGAGCATGTACAGTTGTATGCAACTCTACAAATTTTGCACAGATGCTATACCATCCCAAAATTTAGTGAACCTTTCCTTCTCTTTTTAGAATAGATATCACCCAGGTACTTACTACTGCATTGTTGTATCACTATTAGAAGGTTGTGCTTGCTTTCTTCTCAAGATGTTTTATCTGTTAAAAGCCTGTTATATTCTGGAGGTTGTCTTAAGCTTGTTGGTTTATAAAAGATGTTTATTATAGGACATATAATTTTATAGGGTAAATAACATGCTACCTTTCATCAAAGTTATTATTGTAGTTGGGACACCAAAACATGAACTACTTCACTTTGATACATGTTCTTTCTTATATATCATCAGCATTCCTTGAATATTTTAAAAATCACCCCACAAATATCAGCTGTTATTTGAAAATTTGTTTGTACAAGATTTTAAATATCCAAGTACATCATGTTCAGGGGTAAGTTAATTCTTTTATGTGGGGCATTGCCCTAGCAATACCAATAAATACCCTAGTCCCTCCTGTGTAACAGCTGAAAATGTTACCAGGCATTGGTAGATGTTCCGTAGGAAACAAAATTTCCTTTGATTCAGAACCATTGTCCTGGAGGAAAGGAAAGCAGGCAAGAAGAGAAGACTTACAAGGGAGATCAGAGACACTGCCCACAGATCACAAGAGGGAAACTTGGGATTTCTGAGAAAGGAACTGAGCTCGAGTTTTCGGTTATATAAAGCATTCATCTTAAAAGTAAAATATATGAACTTATGTAACAGAAAAACCGAAGTGTTTTAAGATAAATTACAGAACTTTGCAAAAGTATTGGGAAGTTGAGCTTTGCCATGTTGTATGTCTGCTTGTAGAATTGTTTTGTCCTATCGGGTTCCATTATGTTTTTTCTTGTCTGTCATTTTGCTATCATGCACTGTTATGACATCGTTTTCTTCCCTTTTTCCATCAAGTCATTCTGCCAAAAGGGCTCAGTTTCTGAGTTCTTGCTTTCGCTGCTTTCTTCTTGGAAAAATTCTGTCAGTCGCCGGCCTGCTGTTGCATATGTAAAATCTGATCCTGTTTCACCTGTCACTGTATGTGTCCTTGTTGCATGCCCTGCCTTAGTAATTCGGTTTTATTTGCCATGAATACATTGAGGGGGATTTCAATATAGAAAAGTGTGAATGCATTTTAGAAAAGAATTAATAGTAGTAAACAAGTTTTGGAAAATAATAGTAAGCAAAACATTTGCCAGCCAGGTTGGATTTTTCCAGCATTATCATGTCATCGCTTTTATGTTTGGCTGCTTTATCTTTCTTGTATCTTAACTTACAGGTAACTATTTGCAGAGTGTGCAATAACAATAAATTAACTTTCATCATTTAGTTAATAAGTACCATCAAGTTTTAAAAACTTTGGAGATGCACCATTTCTACTAAGGAAGTTAACAATATCCCTTAAAGCCTTATGGTTAACGAAATAGTAATCATGTGTCCTCTGAATGACTAAAAGTACTTTGAAAAAAAAAATAAAGACTTTGTAAGATGCAGTTAATTTTTTTATTGTGATTTTTTAACTATGAATCTACTAATAAATATATATGATGTCCTTAATTTTGTTTTGCTCCTACTAATAAATGCCATATGATTCCCAAGTTTTGTTCTGTTTTGTTGTAATAAGTATATTCTTTAAATCTACACTGCCTGCTGAAACAATGATGTAAAAGGGCACAGGGCCAACAAGTGAAGTCTAAACACTTAGTGTGAAGAGTGTTCATTGACATTACAGATCGTGACCGAGATATCACAAGTTGGTGAATAAGATCCATTTTTTATGAGGAACCTAATTTGAGGAATACTTTATACGAGAAATATTTTAGCAAATGAAATTTCCGTTAACAAGTCTTTATGGCCTTAACATTGCAATTTGTCAACCTTTGGTCATCTCAAAACTTTCAATAACATAGGAACTTCATCTTAGTCAACTGACTTAAACAGAAATTGAAGTTAATGATGCAGAGTAAGTGTAGATTTAGCCTAAATTTTCTGCTGTCTGCTGAATTTTCTACTTTAGTTAACAAAATGTAACAACTAGCTAAGTGCTTTTCATTTTAAACCACCCATGGCAACTGTCTTCTAATTCTTTAGAGTTTCTTTTTAAATTGCTGAGGCATTTATAACATCAGACTTTTTTTTAATATTCTTTCTAACAAAGACTAAAAGATCTTGAATGTACAGGTTTTTTTTTCACATGGTACTGTTGTTAGCTTATAAGAAAATAACTTGAAAACATCGAGTCAGGTTTAGAAATGTTTATTATTTAGAAAAGTCGCTTGGTAATTTGCCTGGTATGATTCATATATGTATAAGAATATTACCTTGCCTTTTTGAATGGACCATTTTCACATAGGTATATATGGTCTAAGATAAATTCCAAGCAGTAGAACTACTGAGTCAAAAGATACATGCATTTATAAATTTATAAGTACAGTGCCACTCACCTCACATTTTGTGAGAGTATCTATTCATCAATATTGGTTTTTCATTATTTTTTACTTTTCCCCCATTCTAATAGGTGAAAAGTTAGTTTGTGTATTTTTGCTGCTCTTTTGTATTATTATAGTGGAGGTTCAACTATGTGTATATTCACATTCTTTAAACATTCTTCAATTGTAAAGCAGGAGTTGTAATATTGAATGGGAAGAATTAGAGCTAATTTTCAGCTTGCTATTAATATGAAATTAGTACTAACTGTTTTTTGAATGTGCATATGTCTATGAATCTCACATAGAAATTGTTCCTTTTTTCCTAAAATGAAGTTTGGAAGTAATCAGTCCAAACCAGAGTTCACCGTGGACCTCAGGGGAGCAACCATCGAGATGGCACCCAAGGATAAATCCAGCAAAAAGAATGTTTTTGAGGTAGTACTTTTCTTCCTAAGTGTAACTCATATTTTTTTTCACTATATAAATGGGTATTCTTGTTTTTAGTTATTTGAAAATTGCCTTTCATTACTGACATTATTTCATTATTATAAAGTTTATAATTTAAATATTTCTTTAAAAGCATGGTATAAAAAGTTGAGATTCATTTCCAAAAATTATTAGAACTCAGTCTGTATATTAGAAGTCTTTGTTCCACAAATTATTTTACCCAGCAGCAACAAAAAAAGCATGGTTCCTCTCCTCTATCAAGTCTATTAAAAACATACATATTGAACTCCGCCTCCCCCCACAATCACTAAAACTTTTCATTTTGTCATTTAAATCCCTTCACATTTACATGTGACCCACTGTCATTTATTGCTCCATCACAGACCACCTTAAAACATAGCAGCATAACAAAACTGTGATTGTATTTTTTTCCTGTTTGTCTGTGCTGAGTTAGCTGAGTCTCCTGCTGCTTTTACCTGGGGTCTTTCATGAAGTTTCATCAGTGTTCTGGTGGTTTGATTGCACTATGTCATCAAAGATGGCTTCATTCCCATGTCTTACGTAGATGCCACCTGTTGATAAAGGTCCCTTTCTCCATGAAATCTCACATTTAAGGATGTTCTCTTAGGCTTCTTGACTGTGTGAGAGTTTCAAGAATATGAGAGGCTAGAAGATTTCTTGAGGCCTTGATTTGAAAGTCCCACATCCCTTCCTGAGTTTCCCTGTATTCTTTTGTATTATCCCAGTCATAAGTCCAGGCTAGTTAGTATTCTGTGTGATGGAGTACTCAAATCCTACTAACAGAGAGAAACAAGAGTCACATTGCAGGGAGCTGTGCATGCAGAAATGGGAGAAATCATTGCTGCTGTTTTTGCAAATACTCTTCCCCATACAAGCACTTAACCTTTCTGGCCTCATGTCTCAGTCCTCTTATTGAGGCAGATTAGAGTAATTGCCATTTTTCAAACAAACCAGATTCCACTGGATTTTTACTTGCGTTTCTCTGTTCTTTCATGAGCCATGCCCATCTCTGCTTCTCAAGTGTTACCTTCTAAGACCCATGTCAAGACATTTTTCTGAGTTTATGCTTTTACATTAACATTTGTTTTAGTCTTCTTTGGTTGTCATCATTTGTAGGCCACTCCTTCATGGTGACCCTTCACTAGGCTTCTTTATGAAGAACACTAACTTATTTTTTTCACAACGCAGTTGGTTCACTCAAACTGTTAATATTTAGTGGTCCAACACTTAATATCCTATGGCATCTTGTTTTTTAAAAGCAGAAACTGTGTTTATCCTTGTCATTAAGTCACAGTCTTTGGCAGATTCTCTTATGTTCTGTGAACATTCAACATAGATTGATTGGCTTATTCTTGCTATACAGAAAGAAATGCATGAAGACCTTGCAGTTTTCTTTTTTAGAACTTTTTGTTCTGAATATGCACGGTAAATCATAAACCTATTCATTAACTTTGACGTGTATGATATAGTAACATTGATTACATTGATACGAATTGTACAACCACTTGAAACTCCCTCTTCTGAATTGCTCCTCCCCATTAACATAGTTTCCCTGCTCCCTAAGATTCCTGCCTAATCTTTCAAGTTTCTATGTCATTGTGATCCTTCCGTAACAAGACCTTAAAAGAGCATAATGTTCAAGGCATAAATTTTTTTACTGGCTAAAATAGTATTTGAGTTTAGCCAGGGATAATCTTGGTTTAAATTTAAGAGATTTTGCAAGGACAATAGTTTCAGTAGCTCATCTCCCTACCTTGGCTCCAGAAAGTGTTGTGTCCATGAAAATTTGAAATTCTGTAGTATATTTTCCCCTTTTGCTCAGGATTCTTCTGTAGAATCTTTAATCAAAATACTCAGCAGTGGTAGCCAGGCACCATGTAGTACTTCTGGTTCCATGGCAAAGCAGTTAGCTAGACATTCCATATTTTTCTATTCCTGATGCTCCAGGCATATAGAGACCAGTTGTACTTTGGAAGACACTAGTCTTAAAATTCCTATAGGTGTTTGCAGAATGGAAAAAGATGGTTCCATTGTCAAGTAAATTTGGGAAATGTAATATTTTTACTTTATGATATGCTTGTTTTAATACTGTTTCTGCCTAGAAGGTATGTGATATTTATTGTCCTTTTTTTGGAACAAGCTACTATATTTACTTCTTAAATAGGCATAACCCTTAAATATTCTTCTTCTATATTTTTTAAGTAAAGAAGAGGGGGAAAAGAAACCTGAAAGTTGACAGGTCTATGTCAGAAATTTTGGGTTTTTACAAATAAATTCATTTCAGTTCTGATTTAAATTGCATGACTTTGATACTTATTTTTAAATGGTTATGGTAGATTTAAACAGATTTTGTGGGATTTGTGTGATGAAGTTTGTTAACATTATTAGATTTTTGAAGAGTATTTATTGTGAGATACAACTTCATAATTCACTTGTTAAGAGACATTCTAATAAAGCTGTATATACCATAACTTTTTTCCTCTGTTAATATGACATCCAATCTTCTACTGGTGGTTCTATAAGATTTAAGCTAAAGGTATTTACTTTGTTAAAAGCAGTAACTGATCTTTTCTCTCCTACCCCATCCTTTTCTCTAAAGCTGAAAACCCGCCAAGGAACAGAACTGCTAATTCAGTCGGATAATGACACTGTTATTAATGATTGGTTTAAAGTTCTTAGTAGTGCCATCAGTAATCAGGTATGTGTTTGATGCTGGTAAAATTTTAACTTCAGACTAGTGGGTTTTGTAATTTTACTTTCTGATTCTTACTGCGTTTTTTTTCAGATTGCAGTTATCTATGTTGTTGTTGTTATTGTTGATTGATTGCCTTCGAGTCAAGCATGATTCATAGTGACCCAATGAACAAAAGGCCCGAAGCCCCTCTACAACTATCCACATTTATCAAGGTTTATAGAGTTTCTAGAGGCAAGTTGTTTAGGAGTGGATGCCATGCCTGCTTCCAAAACTGGCATAGAACGTTATTGGTTGAGTTGCCTGCGATGCATAGTGACCCTATGTACAGCAGCTCTGAACCCTCCCTGTCCTGCGCCAGTCTCACTAATTCTGACACACCAAGCCCAATTACCCCAGTTACTGTATCTGTCCATCTCATTGGGGTCTCCCTCTGCTATGTTTTCCGTCTACCCTTTCAAGCATGATGTCCTTCTCCAAGGACCAATCTCTCCTGGCCATGTGCCCAAAGTAAGTGAGGTGGAGCTTCAAAATTCTAGCCTCCAAGGAGAGACTTGGTTTCACCCTCTCCACGGCAGACCTGTTTGTTTTCTTGGCCCTCCATGGTATGTTCAAGACTCAGGGTAGAGACAAGTCACAAGTTATATATGAAGACACTTTAAGTTTTCTCCTGTTTTTTGGTGACTTTAACAAAAGTTTACAGAAAAGTTGCATTTTCATTCATTCATTGTTGCACATTTTCCTCTCTACCCCACCCAGTTCACTTTTTTTCTTATAGTGTGTTTTACACTATTCTTCACTCACATTGTATTTCATCATTCATTTCCATGCATTATGTTTTATAAAACCATCATTGGACCTTACCCTTCATCAACCAGCCTTTTCAGGTCCCCATCAGATCCTTCCCTTTTCTTTCACTGCCTCACTCCACCCAACAAAGTGTGCAGCCCTGTGATTTCACCCCTACCCATCCTCACCCCTCTGCTCCCACCCCTTCCCACTTTGGATCTCAAACATAGCTTACTAGTTACTCTTCTGTTTTTATGTTCTGTGCAGTAGTTGTTATTATGAGACTGAGTTCACTCAGCATAATGCTCTCTGATCTCTCCCAAGTTATGTAGTATTCCACTTATGTGAATGTACCACAATTTCTCAGTCTGCTCAGTTGTGCTTGAATGTTTGGGCTGTTTCCATGTTCTTGCAATGGCAAATAATGCTCCTATGAACATTGGTGTACAAATCTCCACTTGTTTCTCAGTTCTAATTTCCTTGAAGTATGTTCCTGGCAGTGTAATAACTGGGTCATATGGAGTTTCTGTGTTCATCTCTTTGAGGAAATGCCAAACTGTGAAGGCACTCTTTTGTATATATTTTTTCAAATGGTCACTTGAGTAAATTTCTGGGGCTGGTGAATAAGTTAATTTACTAATTAGACATTACACAGTGATCTTAAAAAAAAATAAATAGGAATAGTGAAATGGTGCTGAACATGTAGTGTTTGTTCAGGTATTGAATGAGATGGAAACATACACTAGACAAAATTTTTAATTGACTAAAGGTATAGTCTTAATTAGCACTTCTTCCTAGCAACCTTTTTCTAGATTTTCAACCCTTTCCCTGAAGTGTCTGAGAAAAACCTGAAACAAAACCAAACCCCTTTGAATTTATTGCCGGTGAATCAGAACCAACCCATAGCTGACCCTTCACTGTGTTTTCAGAAGGCTGTGGATCTGCAAAGCTTCTCGGAGAACATGATAACATTTTGTTGAAAGACGTTGTGGAAGACCTAAGGGAGAGGATAATAGATCATGTTCATGGGTTAATAATATGGAAATGCTGTTTTCCTCCAGATGAGTTATAAATTTATAGATTTTAAGTTTTTTAACTCTCAATCAGAATCTAATCCCATTAGACTCTTCAGTAGAATGTGATGGTTTATTCTACAATTCATATGGGAACAAAAAGGGCTAAGAATGTCCAAGACTTAAGTGGAAATATTTGGCTCTATCAAGATTTTGTAAAGCAATAGTGATTAAATTGACAGCGTGGTACCCATGCAAAGATATACGCTAGATCTGTGTAGCAGAATAAAGATTCTAGAAACTGACCCCCACACACATACAGACTGTGTGCCAAATCTAACACTGCTCAACCCTGAGGAGGAATGGGCTTTTCACTCAGTGGTCCTGGCATGGTTACATATCCAAGGAGAAACCAGAGCCCTTTCTTACACTGTAAAAACATACAAAATCCTGGTGGAGTAAATAGTTCAGTGAAGGCAAAAACAGATTTTTTAGCTTTTAGAACTCCATATTTAACCTGTAGAAGTTACCTTGGTTAGACTGTGGAGGAGCTCTAGAATTTAATTTCTTTCAATATTCATCACCTGTGAGTCTCTGAGTAATGCTTAACTATTAGCGCAATGTAATTTAAAAGTATTGTTGATATGCAAAATGTATGTACCATTGAGTAGGTAAACTGGTTAACTTCATCTTAAGCTCCTGCCACAGAAGGTATTGTCATTAGTTTCTATCATTATGTTCTATAGATTGTTGCTTAACCTTTTTAACTTATTTTGGGGTCATACGTGGGCAGTTAATCAAAATGAGACAAAAATAGACTCATCAGTGCAGCTCCATTATAGTAGGATTTATCAGCCATATTTTGTTGACTGAAATTGTGTGCTGTGTGGGAAAAAAGAATAATTTAAAAGTTTCATCAGATATCTAAATAATGCATAATATGTATTAATTTGCTTTCCTATAAGCATTGGAAAAACCAATTACCGACCACTCTGAGAATTGTGCTATTACAGCTAAAATAATACAGATTTGTGGAATATTTGACCTGCAGGCTTTAGAAACAGAGGAAATGCTTGAAGAAGAAATCCCAGATTCACCAGGAATTGAAAAGCATGATAAAGAAAAGGACCACAAGGATCCCAAGAAACTTCGTTGTAAGTTCATCTCACCTATTTTGCCAGTGATTTAAATGACTTTGCTCTCTTAGTTTTTCACAGATTATATAAACATACATAAATGTTTAATGTAGTCTTCAGTGGCATAAGACATTGTAATTACTTATGTAGTTGCAGATTCTTGGTGTTTTTAACACTCAGTTTTCTTTGTAATTTCTTATTGTTATTTTTCAACCCCAGGATATCCAGTAGTGTTATATCATACACACTTTAAGATATGATACTTTATTTTCTCATGCTCTTTTTTTTTTTTTGGTGCTGAAACCCGGGAGCAAACCAGGGACTTCTTTTGAGTTCTCTAGAGAATTCAACATTTTATCACTTTAAAATTTATACTTAATGTTTAAGAGTCTACATAGTCTTTTGCTTTAAGAAGTAAAATAATTATGGGTCATCTACAATAGTTTAATACTGAGCACACAGCAGTTCTCTGGGGATCGGGGTAGGTTTGTGTATGTGAACAAAGTATAGGCTCATCAGACTTGCAAATGAGACACTCATGAAACTTAAAAAAAACATTGTTGTTGTTGTTATGTGCCATCGAGTCGTTTCCGACTCATAGCGACCCTATGCACAACAGCTCTAAAACCTGTCCTATCCTGCGCCA